CATCTGTAAGGATAAGGAAAGCCGCCATGTCGGCGGCACTGACTCCTTGGCCGCTCTAGCCTTTACGACTCTAATGGTCGATTTGATTGACGACCGACCGGGCCAATCCACTGCAAGATCGGTTAGAGTGCACGGCACCACTTCCTGTACGGACTTCCGCTCTTTTCTGGTGTGCTGCCCTAAGAGTTCCCCCATCTTCAGCCTGCACGGAAACAGCCCCTCCTCCCGACTACGGCCGCTCAGTGGTCAGCTCGAGCCTTTTTGCCGCCCTGGCGCTGCTGTCCGACTGGCCTGTTTCTTTGTGCAATAAAGGACACGTGTTTGCATGAGCTTTGCATACCGGAATATTTGCGTGTGTAAATGGGGCAACCGTGCACATGGGCATACACTACCGCTTGCCCTTCAGGCGGAGGAGACACGCGTTTTTCCCCCAGCCTGTGTGCTTGCTTCCTCCCGCACTTGCCACCCCGATGGGCGGCACTGCCGACTGTGCGCGATGGGAGCTGGAGTCCAGCAACGTCCCTCTGCCCTTGACCTAGTCTTCCAACAGCCCTCTCGAGCGGCAGCCTAAGCATTAAAAAGAAGCGGGGCGGGTAGCGCTATTCGTGGCATTTGGGATGCGGCGGCGTCTAAGGAAAGCGCTTGCTTGCACCGCTCGCAGGTTGTCAGGCATTGCTGCCGTGCCTCCTCGGGTGTAAGTCCTGTTGCGCGCACGGGGAGCTCCTCCGAGGTGAAGCGTGTGCAGGAGCGCGGCCTGACTGCAACGGGCAGGGCAGGGCAGGGCAGGGCAGGGCCCGGCGGAGGGGCGCTGGAAGGAGGGCGGGCAGGCCGGGCGGGACGGGGCGAAGTGCTCCGCGATGGGAGCGGGGAGCGCAGGCCGGGCGACGCCGGAGGCTCCCGCTTGCAATCCCTCGCAGGTGGCCGGGGCGAGGGCGGCACGATGACAGCTGCACGCAGCTGGGCCAGCCCGGAACGAGGCGGCGGGGCGGGGCAAGGCGGGGCGCTCGCGCAGGCGCCGGGCAGGGCCGGGGCGGGGCCGCCAGGTGCGCTTCACCCCGATTGGCTGAGCGGAGCAGCGGCCCGCCTCGGCTGAGGAGCGCGGGATGCGGATTGGCCGCGGAGCCGGGCTCGGAGGGCGGGGGGTGGGCGCTGCGGGCAATGGCGGCGCTTTCCCGTCGCCGCGTGGGCTGGGGCTCCCGTCCCCCCGGCCCTGCCGAGCCCGGTCTCTGCGGAAGCGCGCCCCGCTAGGCTCGCGTGGGACAGGGGGTCCGGCTCCCCCGCCGGGCACGGCACCCGCTTCCCGGCAGGCCGCCGAGGGCGTTGGGCCGGGGCCGGGGCGGCTCTGTGGCGCGGGGCGCACCCCTGGCCGCCCGGACGCTCCCGCGTGGCCCGCCGAGCAAGCAAGCAAGCAAGCAGGAAGAAGCCGGGCCGTTTTGAACGCCTGGCCCTGCGTTCGGCGTGCTTTGCCCGCCTGGCTCGGCCGCCCGCGCTCGCAAATGCGGTCCTCGATCGGAAGTGGCGCTACCGAGCCGGTGGGGCGCCGTCGCTCGGAGCACACCCGGACCCCCCCGTAGGGACCGGTGTGTCCCCCCCCCCCGCTGCATGCTGTCCCGCCAGCGGGTGCCCGCAACTGGGCGGCACGCACGGCCCGCGCGGCGACAGCGAGAGCTTTCTGCGTGCAGCACGTCTCCATTCGACGCATGTGCCGCCCCACGAGTCACGGGCTCCCTGGGCAGCCTGCCTCGTGCTAAAGTGCAAGCGTGATGGAACCGTGCAAAGCAAGGAACAATAACAGTAATAAATAACAGGAACAATAACAAACCCAAGGAACAATAACAGTAAAACTGTAAATAAATTAGCTGAGCTTGATAGCTGCAAAATTGGAAAAATACGATGAATAAGTGACTATCTATATTGAGATATCTTTAAAAGTCCCTCCTAAAAACAACACCAGCGCTTAGAACTAGTGAAGTTTCGCGCCGTTGAGTCAGGTCACTTTGGTATCTGCATAAAATTAAAGAAAAAAAAATGTGGGGAAGTGAAGTGTTGCCGGCGCTGTCCCGTTGAGAACGGCTCTGGTTCTTCCTCATGCAAGGGAACGGTCCCCTTCGTGGGGATCCCACGTGACATGGATGCCTGGCAAGTCGCCTCCGCAGGGGAGCAGCTCCCCTAACTCCTGGCTGAGATTCATGCAATTCCCGCCACTCCTCTTCATGGGGACAATCGAGGCTGCGGGCCCGTTGCAGTTCTGGCAGGTAGCTGTCCCCTTCAAGGGGACGGAACAAGGGCCCAGCCGCGGGATGGCTCGCAGCCGGGCCAGGCTAGCATCCTCTTCAGTGGGGACGAACGAAGGGAGTTTGGAATTGCCTGGGTCCTGGCAAGCCACCTCTCTCCTGGGGTCAGCTCTGCAGCTGCTCTGAGCAAGCGTCCCCTTCATGGGGAAGTCTTTGCTTAGCCCCGAAATCGTGCCCGCAAGCCAGCTCTCCCCAGGCGTGGCTCAGGGTAGGAACTGGCCAGGTTCCTGCTAAGCAAGCCAGCCCTTCATGGGCAAGTCCCCTTAGGCACAAGTGCGGGACGATTTGCCTGCTTTGGCTGGGATGCTCCTTCTGATGCTTGTCCTCTCTTTTCCTTTCCGCTGCCCGAGCGTGGCATTCCTGCCCGGCTGTGGGCCTAAGGCACAACCAAAGCATGACTTGGTGTCTTCTGACGCTCAGCAGCTCCTCGTGGGACATGACAATGTTGAAGTGTGACTGCTGCTTTGGGGATGTTGGAATTGTTCCTGTTGCCTTGGAGAAGTGAGGCAGAGTGAGTCTAGTGTTGCTTCTTGTAGGCTTCCCTTCTATGACGAAAGAGAGGAGATATTAAGCACAAATTGTTTTTTTTTCAGGGGGAATTCCAAGCATGTTAAATTTATTAACTCCACAATCCTTACAGGTGGCCTAAAAGCTAGTAATCTGTATGCAGTATATCCGTGTTTTGCAAATTTGGGGCTGAACTGGAGGGGGAGGTAGCCTTCATGGTTTCCTGACTGAGCTCCCACAATCCACACCAATGCTCGTCACCCCGGTTGCTGCTCTCTGTGAGAACGAAGAGCCGCAGTGCTGGCTGTCCAGGGGAGGCTTGGTTGGGCCAGGGCCCAGCAGGGGCCACTGAGAAGACCGCTCGACGTCGTCCTCCTCTTTTCCCAGCTGCCTGCTTTTTCCAGTCCGGCTCAGGAAATGGTGGTACAAGGTGCATTACGCTTTTTAAGCACAGGAACAAGAGCAGACAAACACACGGTCCACTCCAATAACGCCTCTGGCCTGCAATGGGACTTCCTTAAAAAACAAATGTACTTCAGTTCCAGTTTCTCCAAACATCTGGAATGCTGTAGTGTGCTGCACTGGTCCTGGTGGGTATGAGGGTGTTGAGGACAAAAAGGCCCTCTTATTTATTCCTCACCTTTCTTCCTCTTGCAAGAAACCCAAGGTAGCTTTTAAGGATCTTCTCTCCACTGCATCCCCACAGAAACGATTCTGTGTGGGTTGGGCTGAGAATCTGTGACTGGCCCAGAGTCGCCCGGTCAGGGCCAGGGTTGGGGGAGGATTCAGACCCAGCTCTCTTGAGTTGCAGCCCAATACTCTACGCACTGTGCCACACTGATGCCCACGGAAGTGTGTCCAGGACTGCTGACTGAGGTTGCAGCTCACTGCTCCTCAAAAATGAGCGTCCTGCGTCCCGTGGGGCAGGTAAGCCTTCCTGGCAGG